AACATGGAGATTGCCTCTCACCAGACAGCAAACTCCACCACCACGGCGCTCCTTTCGGTCCAAACGATAAAGAAAATACGGGAAGTTTGTCACTATCTCGGAATCCAGAACATTTGTCGTAAGCCATGTCTCCGTGATGAATAGGAGATCGGGCTCATGTTGACAGATGAAGGCATGCAGATGCTCTAATTTGTTGGATAAACTGCGGGCATTCAATAGGTAGCAGGTGAGGGTGGATTTACCGTGCGTCATAAACGGTTTCCCGAACTCCGAGGAGGAAGTTCCGACGTTCTTCTGAGTTGACCTTGGTAAACTACCCACTCACGAACGCTTTTACCCTTATTGCGTTCACGCGCTTCCTGACGCAGGTCGTAGTCTCGCTTCCTTTCTTCCTCAGTCATGCTTCTGCGAATGTAGACATTCGTGAGAGGCGAGTTCCGAGGAAGCGCGCATTCGCAAGTGCACGGCGCCAGTGGGATCGAGAAGGAAGCACCACCTTTACGAGGCGAGGCCGATCTGGGTTAGGTTTGCCCATACGATAGGTTTCGCATGGCCGGCACTCCACATCTAAGGCGTCGAGCACTTTAGACACCTTGCCCTCAAGGTCCGACTGACGTGCTGAAGGAGGGAGTTCGCCTTGTGCTTCCTCAAGACCTGCAATAACTATGCTACGCTCGCGTTTATCACCCTCTAGGAAGTCTGAAAATTCCTTAGGGATCTTCTCCGAAAGAGCTATAAGCATGTTTTCAATTGCAGGGTCTTGGTTGAGCTCAATGATGCTCTTTAATAACTCCATAGCCGACATGCTAGCAAAATTTGATGAGTCAGAAAGAGTGGTTTGCGTGCTTCTAACGCTACTGGAACCAGGAGCGAGCTGCGAAGAGCCATCAGAAGTTCTTTTCGAGCGTTGCACCTTAGGTGGCATTCTATTTGACCTTTGATCTACCCGTATACTGAGTCGATATACTAGGTAACGCAACAGTATTAGCAAAACCAACCAAAAACGTTTTAAATGAAATGAAATCACTGCAAATCCTAGAACAAAGTAGTAAAATTCAAACTTCTATTTGAGACGGAAACGTAGTATGAAATTGTTAAAATAAAGAACACCAGAACCAAAAAAAAATGTACGAAAGTTGAGCTCACGGACAGACGACCGCACCGGATGACCTGAGGATGATGAGTGATTTTTGTATGAGGATCGCCCGCCTTCGGCGGGCGTCCGACAGAAGCTAAAAACGTAGGAGCTTCTTTAAAGGCAAAGCCCGCGACCACAGATTGTGGGTAACGGAACCCACATAGGAACGAAAAAGGGCTAGGTATCTGATTAGCGGAGAAAAGCAGCAGAAAAACAGCCGAAAATGCCCTAAATAGGATTCCATATCGACCCC